AGGCGGGTTGGGTTAGCCAAAGTCCCCTCTCCAAGAAGGAGCTGCTTTCTCGACTCGGCATGGTGCTCACTAACCCTCCGTAATATCTAACAAGTCGAGTCTTATGTCGGTCATATAGAACACCAATACATAGAAAAAGGGCTGAAGGAACCAGTCCATGACTTAACATCGGTGGAATGCTACCTCCAATTCCTTGTTAGGTCGTGCAGTTCTGCAAACAATGAAAACATACACTCCACATCCTCATCATCTCTAAGACGACACGCTGTATATTGATATACACCACCGATACATGAATTTGGGTATCGATAGTGGATATCTATGATAACTTTGTAATGAGGAAGATTAAGGTTATTATTAATAAACTGCTTAAGTTGCTCATAAGTCATCATGTTGCTTACCAGTAGGGTTCTAACCTCATTGCTAACAAACGTATCTCCATGCTCAGTGGAGACAATTTGTCCATCATAATAAACAATGGCCGGAACAGTTAACGACTCCATTGATTGGATGTTTCAATCTTATGCATTTTAGCCTTTATTACATAACATTATATAGAACTAAAGCAACATGCTTGCAAGCTAATGTAGACAAACATAAAGTAATTGGATTCCTGACACTCTAAGACTAAGGCAATGACACTCTGCGTAAAGCATTAATTTTAATATTAATTTTATTATTAAATATTATTCTTTAAAAATTATTTAATTTAAATATTAAATATATTTTTAATTTTTGAAAATTAAATTAAATTAATTTTTTAAATTTTTTAAAATAAGAAAGTTAAAAACAAAAAATAAAACCCAAGTGAGAAATCGGTTACTAGATAACCAATTTCTCAAAGGGCTTTTAAAAAAATTTAAAAAATTCCTTTGAGAAATCAGTTACCCAGTAACCGATTTTTTACCTGAGCCTAAAAATGGGTTATTTTGGTAAATAAAAATGGGCCCAAATTATTTAAATAATTAAAAAAATAATATATTAAAAAAAAGTCTTCTTACATCCATTAAAAATATTTTATTTCTATCCATTATTCGTCCATTATTATGGATTTCTCACAATTACTCTCGTATTACAAGCTTGGGTCTTTCTAAGTGTGAGGTGAAAATAGTGGGAACTAAAAAACATAATTTATTAAATCAATCTCATTTAAGATTTTTAAGTTAATTGTGTTAAGTTTTCAATTAGTAAGTCTAATTGTATGTTAGTCGTGATTATTTCATATCCGATTAATTTAATTATTTTTAATTAACATAAAAAAATATCCTTAATCGTAATTATATGTTGATTTTGTTATAGATTTACATCTGACAATCGGGCATGACATCTAAATATATGAATCATGTAATTTATTGTTTTTATAGTTTTAAATTAGAAATTCTTACATACCTTATGATTCCTCAATTCTATAAAAGCCTTGATGTAGAGAGTTTAGGCATGCTTCTTTGTTGATTTGGGTCTTCTTCAAGTTTGTAATATAGTCTATATCAATGCCCGAAATGTTTAGTTATATATCAAGTTTGTAACAGCCTATATCAAGTAAAAAAAGTTTAGTTATCCACTTATTTTTCAAAGTAAGCTCACTTTTATATAATTATTATAAATTTTAAATAAAATAATTTTTATCATTAATAGTTTTTAATATAATATTTATTGATAATTTATAATTATTTGTTCTATGTATAATATAGTTGCATATATTTGTTCAATGTACAAACCTCCTTCTGCAAACTTTAGATAAATATTAGATATGTAAGTTGTTTAAAAAAATCACTTTATTTTAATGATTATCATTACATTTGGTTTTAACCTATAATAATAATAATGTCCTTTCATTATCAAACCATGGTACAGATACTATACTCGAGGGTTCAAACTTAAAGAAGAAGATGCATTGGTCTCTCCTAAAGTATATTATTTTAATTCCAACAATTAATGCTATTTTTTTAAGGTATTTTGTGTTGAATTACTGTGGAGAAAAGATAAACACTAAAAGGGGTCGAATAATGTATATAAAAAACTCACACGTTTTCTATAGTGAGGTAACAACTATAATCAAATAAAGTAGAAGAGTAGCCAAATGGAACACTGAGTGTTTTTCTACTGGTTCGCCTTAACCACCAAAATTATGTCCAATTCTCGATTCAACTAGATTGAATTTCACTATCTTTCAACAAAGATACAAGTATTCTTTTAACAAGTCACTTATGGCTCAACCTTGAGTATTTTTTGATTTGTCTCTTCAAAAAACTATCCAAGTATTCTTTGATTTGTCTCTTCAAACAACTATCAAAATATTCTTTTAACAACAAGCCTCTACATGCTTAACAACATTGTATTATTTTACAGTCAAGCCTCTTCAGGCTCAAAACAAGTATTCTTTTACAAAGAAACCTATTTATGCTCAACCTTATAACGATGGTTATGAAGGTTATACAAATATTGTATTCGTCTCACTTAGACGTTATACAACCAATTATAAAGCAGTGAGTGTTTACAAGAAATTTGTATCATTCTCTTTCATCGGTGTACGGTGCTTTCAAGCAATATCAGTCCTCTTAGAATTAATGGAATTGGAAGATGACACTGTTTGTGGCTGGGTGTTTGATCCTACCTCCCCTAACATTGTCGTAGACTGTGGTGGTCGCGTCAGAGGCGACAGTGACGACAGAACTCAAAGGAGGAGGCGCGTAGAAGGAGAAGGAGTGGAGCAGAATCGCACGCGAAGGGAAAAAGAATGGTTGCGCGTGAAGGAACAACATTCGCACACAGAGGAGCAGTAGTGGCATGCGAAGGAGCAGAGGTCGCGTGCGAAGGAAGAAGAAGCAGTCAAGTGGTGGTGCACGGTGGCGCACGGAGGAGTAAAGGTCGCGTGCAAAGGAAGAAGAAGCAGTTGTACGATGGTGCTCGGAGGAGTAGAGGTCGCACGTAGAGAAAGAAGAAGCATTCACGCAAAGGGAGAAGAGAAGAATCGCGCGCTCAATGGTGGTCGCGTCGGAGGAGGCGCGTCATTGCACGGAGGAGACAATATGAACTTAGGGTTCTGTGGCACGGTTAACCTATTTTGGAAAATGAGGTTAATGGATCGTCCAAACCTGGAAAAACGAAGAAAAAAAAGCCCACAACGACACCATGACTGGCAAGAACACCATGTACCGCCATGTCATTACCGCCGTAACGACTAGCATATGCAAAATGGCAGATCCCCGCCATACACAAGCCAAACGACCATAACGGGTCACGGCGACGGCCGCCATACCGTTATGACACCGCCATAATGCCCATTGGACAACACTGTTAGGTTTTTCTCTTATTTATTGAGTTAAGATATAGGTTAACAGAAGTCTTATTTTCCACCTGGTGACTCTTAAATTGCCTAAACAAAGGGCTTGATTGAGAGAAACATGGACTTCCGAGCAAATGAGGATAGGTGTGAACAATTTAAGTATTAATTTATTTTTGTGCATGGTGTGAGGAAATAATAACAGAAAAAAGTATTAAACTATTAATTAAATAATACCATTTACCATGTCAGAAACTTTGCCTTGGAAGACACCTCAGTCTTCACGTGCCCCAAAGACAATATTTTCTTAAAACCCCCACCACTTTGAAAAATCTATGCTCTCACTTGGACCCATTTTTTGCTGAACCAACACAAACAGCAAGAGCCTACTTTCCCAAAACACCAACACTCACGAGTCACAAGTGCTAGCTAACCCCGTGACCATTAATGAGAAAGTTGAAAAACCATTCTGGATTTCTCTCCTGTCATCATCAGGCATCCATACTACACAATTGTGCAAATCCAATGCCTTGGAAAGCTCAACAAGATGGTATGCTTATCCAGAGACTTCCAAATCTCACAGGTCAGCATCCTAACATGCCAACTAGCTTCCTTCTGTTTATTCATCATCCCAACCTCTTGGCCTAACTCTAACACATTCTTCCTCACTTTGATTTTCAGCAGAAGAGGAATGACAGTGGGAAAGGTAATGGCAGTGGTACAAGAGACAAGCGTAGTGAGGAACTTAGCAACAGTGAGGGAAAGAAACAACTGGAAGGAATGGGGGCCATAGTAAGTATAGGCATTGAATAAATGGGTCAATCCACCGAGAACTATGAATGTTATGAATTGAAAGAAGACCAATTTGAAGGGGATGTAGGAGCGGCTCACAAAGTAAAGAAGCTCAATGGGGATAGAAAAATAAGCAACGGAAATGAAAATTTCACTCACTTTATTGCAAACCACCCCGTTCTGTATGCTCTAAATTATAATGACAATTTAAATAAATTCATATGATTAAATAAATAAATAATGCGACTAAATTATAGTTAACTAATTGGATACAACAGGAGAAGCTCACACCACTAACAATTTGGGGGCAGAAGCCAATAAGACAAGAAATCATGGCTTTCTGTGCTTTTGGTGAACCATACACCTCAGGAGAAGCTCACACCACTAACAATGACTTTAGAAGTTTTTAAAATTCAGAAGAAGCTGCTATTATTTGTAAGGCATGTGTATTGACCAGTTATTTAAATATACAATGGAAACTCCTTTACCAAAATAACAACAGCTTTCACCACAAATCACCAAGTATAAACCACAACCATTTTCACCTCACACAATTATCCAAAACAAATCAAATGCCACTTCAGTACAACAGAAGTTGTTAAGGCACCAAATCCGTTAAAATGGAAATCAAATTACCAAACAGATACCAAAAAAAAAAAAAAAA